TTTATCTTATTTATTAAAAACAAAAGATACATATAAATGTACTCAACTGGTAGAAGTACTAAAATACATATAATCTATTGATCCATACTGTTTTTAACGTATTTTGCTCCTCAAAAGCAAAATGTCTCAATTCCTAGAATTTTGGATTTTTTTGCAAATTTCAGACGAAGAATTAAATAATTGCAACAGCACTAAACGAGTAGATTACTGGTTGATGCGTCAGTGACGCTTTTACTTCCCTTTCTGATGACATGATTTATAACACTTCTGGTGCTATGAAAGAATCTTGATTAATGCAGGCTAGAAATTCTAAAAAAAGCTCAATCATTTCTTCAGCGTTAACAGAGTAATTTGATAGTGCTACATGTTAGTCTTTTAATTTTTTTCTCTCATTTTATCGAATTTAAGTCTTAACATGGAAAATCCACTATCTCTGAACATATGTCTGTTATTTATAATTTCTCACTTTCAGTCAACAATCATGCATGTAAATAAGAAGTAAAGCCCTCATTTTTCGCTTTTTCTGGACTATATCATGAAAATTACTGCAGATATGTCTTCGGAAATTATTAGTTTGCTCCTTTTCTAATAGATTCCTTCGATTTAAGATTTTTTAAACCTTCCAGTTTGGTATTTGCACCATAAATTAGAAAAGTTAGAATAGCATCAAAGTATGGCAGAGCATGCATTTTCTGGTTGAAATTTAATAATCTGATCAGGCAGGAATGATGCATTGTTGTTCTTCGTGTTTTATATGCAAACATTGTTGGTAACATTCCTTTTTACATTACAAGGTAACACTGACATCTGAAATTTAGAAATTACAAAGTGACTTGCTGCTCATACGTTGAGTGCCCCAATTATTAAAGTAGTAATTTTTTTAAAGTTGGAAAGATTTTTGAAAGTATTTTACCACGTAATCGCAATGACAACTTCATTTACAAAATTTGTTCTGTATGAGCATGAAAAACCGTATAAGTGTAATAAGAGACATAAGCTGCACATTAGAAGGAACATAGATTTACACAAAAACTATTCAAATGTGACATAGTGAATGGCGCTTTAGACGCTCTGAAAATCTGAATCAACCCCAGCATAGTAAATTGAAGTAATACTGACGTGCATGTTGTGGTAAATTAGCAGTTCGCCAGGGATCTTCGGTCGTCAAAACAGAATTTCAATCAATCTTTTTGTCAGTGCGAACATCATTTAACACTTGATGCGCCTGTACAGATTTTGCTGCTATATGCTGATACTCCCTTTCTCGCAAACCTTTTACGATGTGTGGATGTAGTGTGCTGCATGTAGGTTTGGTGCATGGTAGATTTCGAACTCACAATCCATGCACATCTCATGTGGCAGCATCGTAATGCGTGTCTTATTACAATATTTATTTCAAATTGTTGAACAAGTAACAAAGGCATATCATAAAGAAAATGTTGCACAGTACTAGAACAAATTAGAGGAGAAATACAACAGTCATTAAAAACAGAAAAGTATGCAAAAAGTGATAGCTAACATAGTAAACTGAAGTTTAACAAATATTTTTTGAACCTCGAGAACAATATTTCGTACTTAAATGCAGGGAATGGTCACTGAAGTAGAAACAATAAGGTGTTGCTAAGGCACATTTAAACAATCTGATACTTCAGAGGATAAAAACAGCGAATCACCGGACAAGACAACGAAACAACGAGTAGGCTACAGATTATTCGAATGCAAAATGACACCTCAAGTAGAATTAAATATTTTTATATTGAGATCTTATAACTTTCGTTTATAAGTTCCTATAATCTTCAGGTAGCACTTTTGAAGAAATGAGTGCAGATCGAAAACTTTGATCCCAATAAGAATGCTAACTCCATCAACCCGCATCGGACAAATCTTTGCTCTACAACTTAATGAATGTTTTTACCACTCATTGAAATAATAGATTCTTCCTTGAATCTAATCAGATTTTCATTCGTTACCATCAATAATGAAAATTCTACCTCCAATTGTTTGAAAGGTTAGAAAAACAGCTGTTACTTTATTCTTGTGAAAACTACGAATAATAGATGTCAGTACGAATTTAGTCAAAAAACTGCAAACTTCTGATACAGAGTTACCACATGCGATCAAATTTGAAAGATAAAAATACCGCCTGATTTCAGAAGTAAAAACGAGGCCGCGCTGAAAAGAAAATTGACATATTCCTATCATACTTTTAGAAGCACATTTTACAAAAGACTGTAATAATAAATTTTTGTTCGAACTTTATTCCACTCAAATAAACAGTGAATCCCATGTATGTTGATATAAACCGCACAAAGGATTCGCAAGAACCAGATTATTAGCAAAAAAAACGCAAAATCCATTTAACAACCATCAAATTTTAAACAATATTCGCAGTAACAAAACGTTTGAAGATGAATTCCTTTTTTAATGATTTAAAGGCCTGCGCAAACTACAAATTAATCCCAACAAGCACACTAATATGATTTTGGATTCGCAGTGCTTGCGCTGTTCAGATTTTCAGAAGCTCGAAGCACTTTGAAGTATGCCATATTCGAATGTTTTCTATCCCATATGTTCACGTTTGTGTTTCTTCAAATCTGCGTCTTTTGTGAAACTTTCCTTACAAGTATTGCACATATACCGTATACCGGTGTGTATGCGCTCGTGTCTATTCAAACTACTGGAATTTCTGAATCTTTTCTCACATACATCGCACATGCATGGCTTCTCACCTGTATGTATGCGCTTGTGTCTATTTAAATAACCACAATTTGTGAATCCCTTCTCACATACGTCGCATAAGTAAGGCTTCCCATCGGTATGTATGCGTTTGTGTATGCTCAAATTACTGGAACTACTGAATCTTTTCTCACATACACTGCATATGTATGGCTTTTCACCGGTATGTATGCGCTTGTGTGTGCATAAATAACTAGACCTTCTGAATTTTTTCGCGCATACATCGCACGTGTATGGTTTTTCATCGGTATGTATGCGCTTGTGTGTATATAAATTACTAGAATCTATAAATCCTTTTTCACATACATCGCACATGTATGGCTTCTCACCGGTATGTATGCGCTCGTGTCTGTTCAAATTACTGAAACTTCTGAATCTTTTATTACATATTTCGCATATGTATGGCTTCTCATCAGTATGTATGAGCTTGTGTCTCTTTAAATGATGGAAACTTCCGAATCCTTTTTCACATACATCGCATATGTATGCCTTCTTACCAGTATGTATGCGCTTGTGTGTGGTTAAATGACTAGAACTTATGAATGCTTTCTCACATACGTCACATATGTATGGCTTCTCACCGATATGTGTACGGAAGTGCAGGATTAAATTACTTTTGGTAGTAAAATTCTTCAAGCAAGTTTCACACTGGAACTGCTTTTCTTTGGGAGGCGCCCTTATTTTGCATATGGAATTTTTCATACTTGGTTTCTTCTGGGAAGCATTACACTGAGATTTTGTATAAAAGCTATTTGTTTGAATATTGCTCATACTTGTAGAATTTCCACATTCCCTTAGCTTATTCTTATCAATATGTGATGAATTAGTGTATTGATTAGGTTGTACGCCATTTCCGATTCTGATTCCTTTCAGCAACTCTTCTTGATTCGTTTCATCGCTCTGTAATAATGAACTGAAATGACTGTTTCCACAAACTTGAATAAGATCGCAAATTAAAGTTTGATGGCGTATATACTTACTGTGGACTCTGCGAATTTCAGTTCAAATAGTAGGCAAGAAGCGAAAGCAACTATGAAGATGCGACGATTCATATTCAGTCTTATCTGAAAGCAAAATATTGCAATATTTACAAACAAATTTTACCTTATTTCGTACTTTAAATTTTTCGAAACGATCTTCTGACAAAACAAATTCTGATTTGGAGTTATTTAACGCTCTATCTACTTTCAATTTTACTTAAAATGTTCAGACACCTCAAACTATTATGAGCTAATAAAGAGCACACAAAGTAAAATGATGTGTTTCTGAATTATTATTGAGTCTGAAATTGGAATTGAGATCATTTCTGATGGCATCATCGCTAGATTTCATGACATATAAGAAAGAAACATCTACAAATAATATACTTTCAGAAATGAC